ATCCACCTTGGGTGAGGGCATGCCCGAGGGGATGCCGTAGTCTGGGGAGTAGTACCCTGGGGACAGGCAGGGGAACTTTTCAGAGGGAACAGGCGGTAGCGGGGCCTTGTCTTCCAGCAGGTGCTGCACAGGGGAGCCGAAGCTGGAGGCCGCAGGCACGCTCTGCTGCCTGAACAACTTGTCCCCGACACTGAACTCTTCCTCGGGGGTTCTCCTGATGTCCACAGAGATGGAGCGGTACAGGTTGGAGGAGACAGGCCTTGTGGGTGTCTGGCCCGGGTTTTCTGACACCCCACTGGAAGCCACAGAGAACCTGTCAAAAAACGGCGGAGAGCAGGTGCTGGTGGACGTGGCGGAGACAGGCATTGAGTGCTGGGAGTCCGCACAGTCAAACACCAGGTCGGGGTAGTCATCAGCGCTGCAGGACGGCGTCCTGGGCGTGTGCATCACCTCCTCGTAGCTTGGCGTGGGCACCCCAGTGGGCCGGCTCTGCTCAGGCCGGGGGGAGGGGGGCAACACCTCCTTGGGGGGCGGCGCTGCCGGCCAGTCTTTGCACTCCGCCCCGGGCCCCAGCTTGCCCTCGATGGCGGTGGCGGGTGGTGTGGGAGCGGAGTCCTTGAGCTTCTTCTCCTTGAAGGGAGGGTCTGGCCCCAGGGGTTTCTTAGGAGGAACGTCCAGGCTCTTCTTCCGCCCCTCCTCGGGGGGCTTGGTCTTGTCCTTGAGCTTGGGGTCCCCAGACCTGTGCCTCATCTTCTCCATCTGCTTCATGCGCTCCTTGTGACGCTTGTGGCGCTCCTCGACCTCCAGGTCCTTCTGGGATAGCATCCTCTCAAAGCTGGTCATCATCAGGTCGCCGTCTCCTAGGAGCTTCTCCCGGGGCCGGGCGTCCTTCTTGCCCAGGTCTCTGGCCAGCGGGAGCTTGTCGCTGCCGTTGCTGATCTTCATGGAGTCCGCCTTTTCTCTCTCTGTGTTCTCCCTGAGCTTCTCCTTCAGCTTGGTCTCACTGAGTTTCAGGCTTTCGTCCCTGGACTTCTCCCTGAAGGAGTTCGGAGGGTTGTCCTTGTCTTTGGCTGCGGGCTTTGGCTCGTCCTTGTGGTGTTTGAGGAACCCGTCCGTGTGCTTCTCCCGGTGTCTCTCCTTCTCGTCTCTCCACTTCTCCCTGTGTTTCTCTCTTTTCTTCTTCTCCTTCAGGATGCTGATGGTACTAGATCCGTAAGGCTTTAGTTCCTTCTCGATTTTCTTGGCAGATTCTCTCTCGGGATCATTTCTCTCTTTCTTTTCCGAGGGAAATATCTCAACGGTCTTATCCAACTCCTCTTCCATGTCGGCTTTCACGGTGTAGGCGACCCCGTAGGCCTCTGCATCCAGGAAGTCCTTCTCATACTGGCTCGAGTCCTTCCTGCAGCCACCGTCCTTGTAGTCCTCGGCCTTCTCTTTCTTCTCAGCCTTCTCCTTCTTGGCTCGCTCCCGGTCGTGGCTCTTCTTGGAGGAGGATGAGGAGTGCCTGTGCCGCTCCCTGTCCCTCAGCTTCTCCGTGAGGCAGCTCTCTCTGGCCTTGTCATCGGGCGGCTCTGAGAAGGACACCTCCAGGAGGGCGCTCAGGCCCGGCTCCTGGCCCCGGTCTGTGAAGCTGTCTGACGAGACCTCGCTGGCTTTGTCATTGGAGTCCTCCCGGTCCTCGTGCAGCGCCTCCTCCTCCAGCTTCTCCAGCAGGCTCTTCTCTGCCTCGGCGCCCCTCGAGCCCTTCCTCTCTTTGGAGTGCTCCTTCTCTGGCTTGTCCTTGTGCTTACTCTTGGCCTTGTCTTCGGTGGAGTGCTTCTTCTCCACCTTCTCAGGGAGCTTCTGCTTGTTCTTCTTTTCCTGGGCAGAGTCGACGGAAGCCCTGTCTTTCCTGTCCTTGTATCTCTCTGCACACTCTTTGTCCTTCTTCTCTCGGTGCTTCTCAAAGATCTTGTCCTTCCTGTCGCGCCCACTGTCGGCAGCCACCCTGTCCTTCCTCTTCTCCTTGGGCTCTTTATCCCTTGGCTTCTCTGCGTGCTGCCGGTCAGAGGACTTCCGGTGTCTGTCCAAGAGATGCAGCTCTCTGCCATCCTCCTTGTCCTGGAGGCTGTCCCCTCTCTGCGCGTCCCCGGCTTCCCCGGCCTTGAAGCTGCTGGCCATATAGTCATCTTTTTCATCTTCACTTTCGTCTGTGAATATGTCTGCAATGTACCAGCTCTTCTCTCTCCCTTTCTTTTCATCTTTTTTTTCGGAGAAGTCTTCTGAGAGAAGTCCAGGGAACATCTTCTCCTTCTTCTCTCTCCCTTGGTCGAGCGACGCCTTCCTGTCTTTGCTGTGGGCCTCTTTATGCTTTTCCTTAGCATCTCTCTTCTCTTTAAAACATTTGTCAAATTCTTTGTCCTTCTGACATTTCTCAAGGAGAGATTTCTCGCTCTTGTCTCTGTCCAGTGACTTGTCTTTGCACTTCTCCACCCGCACCTTCTCCTTCCGGTCCTTCTCCAGGCGCAGGGCGTGGGGCCGTTCCCAGGGCTCGAGGCCCTTGGGGAGGTCAGAGTCCGGCTTGTCCCTGAATGCACTCTCGCAGCCACAGTCCTTCAAGTCCTCCCGATGCGCCTCCTCAGGCCGGAGCCGGGCTTCCTTGCGCTCCCGGGAGCCGTCCAGGCCATCCCTGCGATCGCGCCCGCCCTCGGCACATTCCCTCCTCTTCTTGTCTTTCTCAGAGAGGTAGCTGGGGACGCCTTTGTGCTTCTCCACCTGGTCTCTTCTCTTCTCGGAGCTCTTGTCCAGACAGTCCCTGTCTTTCTTTCGGAAGAACGAGTCTCTGAAGTCCCGCTTCTCCCGGGCTCTGTTGTCTCGCTTCTTCTCCTTACTATCCTCCTTCACTGTCTCTAAGATGAGTTTGGCCACAGAGTCATTCTTGATGTCCCTGTAGTCTGTCACTGGGGAGTCCCAGCTGTCCTCCCCTTTGAAATCAAAGGAGGAATCAGACAGGTCAGAAAACCACCTCTCTTGCTGATCATCAGAAAGGCTGAATTTGGTGTCCTCATTCTCTAGAAACTGAGTTTTGCTGCAGAATTCGTCAAATGCAGCATCGTCTCTGTAACCTTTTTCCTTTTTGAGCTTTTCCTTCTCCTTGCAAGCCCTGTCCTCCTTCATGTCATTCTTCTTCTCTAACTTCGAAGGCCGGTCTTTGGACTTTTTCTTCTTCTCCTCTTTGTAGAGCCTCAGCCGTTCCTCTTTGGGGGACTTTTCCTTCACAGCCTTCTCCCTCTCTGTTTTACCGGAACGGTCTTTCTCTTCCCGGAAAGACCTGCCGATGTCTTTGGCCCTCTTCATCAACTTCTCGTCTTTGGAGACCTTAAGCATCTCTTCTTTGAAGATCCACTCCTTGTCTTCTGACTTCAGTTTGCTGAGCTTCTCTTCTTTCTTAAAATGGTCTCGGTCGTGCTTCAGCACTTTCAGCTTATTGTCTGTGGAAATGTCATTGTCTAAGAGGATGGCTTTCTCTGACTTTTGCTTGGAGTCCTCGTATTCGTACGTAAAACTTTTCAGTTTAAGTTCCTGGCTCACGGAACACTGCCCCTTCTCCTTGTTTTTGTGTTTGTGTTTTGTCTTGTGTTTTTTGACGACTTTTCCCTCCTTGTCCAGCTTGGGGACAGCGCCATCTGTGCCAGGGTGGCAGGTGCCCCTCTTCTCCGGTGGTGCACTTGGCAGGCTGCCCCTCTTCCGGAGCTCCTGCTTCCTCCTTGTGGGCTTCAGCGACTCCACGCTGGAGCCCTCAGAGGGGCAGTCAGACTCGCTCGTCAGTCCTGTCCGTGAGGAGTCTGACAGGGAGCTGACCTCAGACCAGGCCGGGGAGGAGATGGCTTTCCAGTTGTCCGTGCGCCAGTGCTTGGCATGCTGATCACCGTGGTTGGTGCCGTGCTTCGGGGCCACGGCACTGCCGTGGGAGGAGGTGGAGGAGGCAGACAGTGAGCTGAACAGGGAGGGGTCCTTCAGCACCAGTGGGGACCCCTTGAGGCAGCCTGTGCTCCCCACAGAGTCGTCATCGTCCTCCTCACTCTCTGAGGACTCGCTCTCTGACTCAGAGGAACAGAACTTGTCATTCCTCTTTCCAAAGCGAACTTCTTTGCTTTTTGCTTCTTTCTTTCGCTTCTTCTTCACTTTGCTTTTCTCCTTCTGCTGCCTGGAGTTGGACGGCTCCCGTACCTTGCTGCTGGGCAGCACAGAGTGTGCTGACAGCCTCAGCTTCTCCCCGGCACCAACGGCGAGGCCAGTGTCCTCCTCGTCGGATGTGTCTGACAGGATACGATGGGCTGCTTTCTTTGGTGCAATCGTATTGTTCTTGGTGTAACTCTTAACTTCCATTTTGGGTATCGAAATGAAACTGTTTGACTTAGTCTCTTTCCTGTAATCCTTCTTTAGCAAGTGCTTGTCATCCACTGGGGGGACCCTGTCCTGCTCGTCATCCTCATCAAACTCGTACTCGTCCTTGACAGGGGTCACGGCCTTCTGTGGCTCTGGATTCTTGGCCTTGAGCTTCAGGCCTTTCTCAAACTCAGAGTCCGTGTTATTGCCGTCGACTGAGCTGGACGGCGCGAATGACGGGGCGTCTTCCTCCTCAGAGCTCTCTGTTGGGACGGGAAGGGAGAGGTCAGGCGGGTTCAGAATGCTCCCCAGAAGAGACAGGCCGTTCTGCAGCTAAGGGTCCGCAACAAGTGGGCTGGCAGCCCCTGCCTCTGCAGCCCACTTCTCTCCATCTGGTCCCGTCTGAGGCTAACCCCGGGGCAAGGGGCCCAGGGAGCCTATCAAGAACAGGGCCAAGTCCCTGCAAGTGCCAGGCCCCAAGGAGGTTGGAGGCCCAGTGTGGCCACAGGGCTGCCCTGTGGCCGAGGAGAAAACACCCACCCCACACCACTTACCAGTGGAGCTCTCTTCACTGGACGTGTAGGTGCCTTTGCCTAACAGCAGATTCACCATCGTGGGGGAATTGGCCACTTTCAACGGGGTCTCGCCTTTCCGGTTGCTCTGCTGAGGATTCCCCCCATACCGTAACAACAGCTTCACCACCTACAAGACACGGAGGACTGCGTCAGAAGCTGAGGAACACGACCACTCTGCCTTCCCCGCCCAAATGGCAGCCCAACTCAGGGGTCCCAGTGTGGGCCCCCAGCAGACACGTGGAGCACAGCCCAGCAGCTTGAGGTGAGCCCTGATGGGGTGGCCTGCTGGCCCACCACCAGGATACCCCGCCTCTCCACACTGTCTTCACCTCTCCTCCTGCAGCCCAGAAGTTGTCTCATGAAGCCCAGCACCGTGTGGATCCCGTGAGTGGTTGTGGAGATTCTGGGAGTTTAGGGAGAGCTTTTATTGGGGGACAGCGGGGCACAGAATAGAGGAAACAAAGACCAAGTTTCTGCAAGCTGGTTTATTTAATTTCGTTTACATTAGAAAATAAGATGACCTCTTCCTTGCTTGATTTTACATGCGTCAGGACAGTTACACGAGTTTCAAACATTCCAGGTGAGATTTCAATAGCTCTGTTCAATCTTTTATAATCAGCAACCTGTTTCATGTGCCCAGGACAGCAACTTGCTGAACAAATGCAAACACTAAGTCTCTCCTCCACTTCCATCCTGCCTGCGATAAAGCTTGTCACTCAGTGCTGCACCTGGCGCCGTGTCACCAGGACACAGCTTGCATGTCTGGGTTTCTGCTGCTGTGATGTTGCCCCGTCCTGGTCCTCCGATTCTAGAGGGCTCCCTCCCACTGACCTGGCACCCCCCACCCATCCTGTGCCTGTGAGTGGAACCCGGCTCCTCCTGGGGTGGGACCAAGCTTCCTGCTCCCTGCTGCGAGGCACCAGCCTCCTTGGCCTGTGCCCTTTCCCTAAGACCAGCCATGCAGGCCAATTCCTCTCGGGCCTCAAGACCCTTAAACAGAATGACCCAGTGTATTTACGACCTCCTCTAAGCACAAGGATAAGTCTACCAAATATGGCGCCGGTGTTCCCGCGACCTGCCTGCTTGTCTCTGAAACCCTCCCACTTGGAGGCCCTCCCACAAAGCCCTGCTTCCTGCTGTGCTGTCAGGTCCCAGACACCTTCCCAGCAGGGCCAGGCAGGGGCTGCTGTCGAGGGGCATACTGCTCACACTGTGGCTTCTCTGGGGACCCTGACGTCTGTGTCCTGCTCCCCAGCAGGATGAGGTGGTGGTGCAGTCTGTGCCTCCACTTCAGACCTGGAGGCAGCCCTTCCCCAGGGGGCTTTGCTTGAAAGTGCCAGCCTGTGTGGTGGCTGCGCCTCTTCCTTCCAGGCCAGACAGTGACAACAGCAGAGACCCGGCAGTGCGAACTCGGCCGCCCTTCCTCTTGGGTGCAGCCATTCACCTGCTAAGTTCAGTCAGACCCCTGTGGCCGAAGGGGGCCCTGTGATGTGTTAGTACTGTGGAGGCTGTCCGGGTGCCGTCCAGTGGACAGCCGGGGGCACCGCGGAACGGCAGGGCCTTCGAGGCAAGGAAGGCAACGCTCACTTCTCAATACTCAGAAAGTGTGATGGCTACTAGGACAGAGAAACACGAAGCCACAGGATGGCTCTGAAGTTAGGGGACTGAGCAGGTGTGGGGGGTGGGGAGATGCCAACCTTGTAGTGGCCGTTGTTGGCGGCATCATGCAAAGGCGTGTCATCATCCAGGCCTTTGGTGTTCACCTCTGCACCTGCGGCCAGCAGCTGCTTGGCGACATCGTAGTAGCCCCGGTTACACGCCTCATGCAGCGCTGTCCAGCCTGGAAACAGACACTTAGGATATACGTTATTTAATCCTAGAGAACCTCACTCCTGAGGATGTGCTACATGACAAGGACAGGTGGGGTGGGGTGAGGTGGGGTACCTCACACACAGAGGGATGTTTCTGGCAGATGAGGTCTGCATCATCAACACCTGGTTTTTCTCCCGGCAGACCAATAACCTGCACCAACAACAGCCCCTTGCCCCACTCACCAGCCAAGGCCTGCATGGCAGAAACCTTTCACTCGCAGCAGGGAAATCCCCAGGACCTCACATGTGCCAGGCAAGTGCTCTCCCACTGAGTTGCACCCCAACCCTTTTCATTTTTCAATTTTGGGATAGGGCCCCACTAACTTGCCCATCCTGGTCTTGAACTTGCAATCCTCCTGCCTCAGCCTCCTGAGTAGCTGGGATTGCAAGTATGCACCACTGTGCTCTGCCTGAGAATGCTCTTGTGTGGACTGCAGGGCTGGCTGCTGCAGCAGCCACTTCTAGACATGTGTGGGTTCAGGCCTGGGGAGCTGGAGTACAGGGCCAAACAGCGTGGTCCCACACCTCTGTGCAGCACAATCAGCCCACCTTTGAGGACAGTGTCAGTGCCTTCACAAGGCCCCATTTGGGGTACCATGGGGGCCCGGGGGTGTGTTGGGAGACTGGAGATTGAACTGGAGCCTTCTGTGCTCTGAGCTACACCCCCAGGCCTTTTTGATGAACAGAAAAAAGCATTTTTTATTTTATTTTATTTTTTTTGGCACCAAGCATTCTTTTTTTGAGACAGGATCTTGCTAGGTCACTGAACTGCCCAGGCTGAGGTGGAACTCTGATCCTCCTGCCTCAGCCTCCCAAAACTCGGGGACTATAGGTATGTGCAATGGTGCCTGGCTGGGAAAACTGCTTTAAAATAAAGCAGACAACTACCGACTCGGGCAGTGGTTTTGTGCCTCCATCCCCACTCACTGTGAGGAGCAGCTCTGGAGGGGGTGGCTGCACGTGGGGGCAATGGTGGAAGGTGGCACAGCCTGTACCCAGAGCCCCTAGAACCAAGGTCCTGGCCCTGGTCTGGGGGACTCCACATCTGTCTTAATTAAAAAGGCAGCACACATCCTCTGGCTGTACTTCCTGGGGGGGCCCTTGGAGCATGTCTCCTGAGGTCAGGGGGTGACCTGTCCCCCTCAGCAGCCACAGATAAAAGACTCTGCTAGACTCACAGCCAGCAGGCACCCTCTGCTGGGCAAATGCTTCTTCCTACGCACACATGAGACAAGACCCTGCCAAGGGCCTGAGACTGTGGTTGATAACCATAACACAGCGGTGCAAATACTTACAATCTCTCAGTTCTCTTAAAAACAGAAAAACAGAAAATGATTCTATTTTGAAATATAACCCCCCCACTCCTTCCTCCCTCTCAGAAGCAGCCGATGACCCCACGCACCGGGTGACATGAGGGGTGCACGGGTGCACACATCCCAGGACCTGGGGGTAGAGGGTGCATTCTTGGGTCTGGTGCCTCCCACTGCAACACTGTGCCAGACCCTGCACAGAAGTTCGGGCACAGCCTGCTTGGGTGGCTGGTGCTTACCTGCAAAGTCCTTGACGTTGACGTCTGCACCCTCACTGATGAGCTCCTTGATGCGCCGGGCGTCTCCTCGGATGGCGGCCCGGTGCAGGCGGGTCTCCCCCCGCTCATTCCTCTTGTTCACTTTATCTTTGGTTTTTGAGGCAGAGTTAGGCGTCCCCTTCTGACACACTGTAGACTGGGAGGGGTGCTTTGGTGTTGTGTCTACTGTGGGGCAAAGAGAGGATTACTAGAGCTGGCACTGCTTGATGGAAGCCCTGAGAACCTGACCATTTGCTTTCACAAGGCAAAGGGAATCAAGCAGAGCCAGCACCTCCAGCCCCGGGGACCACCCTGTCCCTGGCTCACCTGGGCTGTTGGCAGACTCCTCGGCCGTCATCTGCATGAGGAGAGCCACCTGCTGGCGCTCGGAGAGGGGATAGCCGGCCCGGATCCCAGACAGCCCCATGCCAAACAGCAGCCCAGACTTTCGGGCGACAGGCTCCTTCTTGATCCTCTTCCGCTCGGGACCCTGCTTCTCTGTGCGGCAGGTGAGGAGAAAGCGGGGGACACCTCATGCCGAGCTCTCAGGTCAGTGCCTACCGATACCGAGCCCCTGCACCCACCTGACTGCTTACACAGCAACAGGCAGCCTGTCAGGGGGGGAGCGACAGTGCCGGCTCTGACTCCGCCAGCCCCAGGAGACACCGTTCCACACCGTGGCAGCCGGGAACACGCAGGCCAGCTGAGCTATGCCCGCCTGGCCTGCGTGGGCGGGTGCTGTGAGCACACGCGTCTGCACTTGAGCTCGACTTCCTTCCCAACCCTGCAAGCAGTGCAGACCCGGTATGAACACACACGCACAGCAGGGCCCACCTGTCAGCACTGGCCTTTCTTCTTGCTTCTAGGAACCTCACTGCATGCCCTGGCGCTTTGAGGGCTGTACCAGCCTTGCAGTACCACAACATGGACTGAGCTGGAGACATCGAACGGCATCAGCACAGAGCACTGACAGATACAGGCAACAGCTCACTGTCTCCGTCTCAGCCTCCCCTGGCCAGCAAGTCCTGGACAGACATCCTGCCGACCTCCACTGCAAAGACCAACTGTGCTGCTTCTCTTCTAAGAGAACACAGTTCTGCTCAGGCTGAGGCGCAAGCTTCCAGAGCACTGGGTGCTGAGGAGGCCTTCTGTGGCGTCTGCCTCCTGTCCACCCTGCACGTCCGTGAAGCCCTCTGCGGAGTGGGGTGCGTGTGTGGCGGGCACCTAAGACAAGGGAGCTGGGTGAATGGCCCAGGCCTTGCGAGGGGGCCACAGCTGCCTGGTGGGCTGAGTGCACGTGGCCCCCACTCCACCCCTGTCCAATGCTGACCCACCAGCGGGGCTGACTGTGGCCCTCCTGTGGCAATGCTGGGCAAGAGAAACCAGGCAGGGAACATTAGGCCCGCCTCTTCCTCATGAGGCTGCCTGTGGTCTCGTACCCAGGACCTGGGTGCCACAGCATGCAGGTCGAGCACACTCGGGAGCTCGGGCCCCTGAGCCACCAGGGACACCTGGCCTGTCACCAGCCGAGCACTGGAAGGTGGGAGGCCTGCCGAGAGCATGATAAGGCCCACGGAGGAGAGTGCCACACCCATCCGAGACTGCACGTGAAGTGGCAGCGTCCCAGCTGTAGAGATCTCACCACTCCAGGGGCAACCCTGCTTCTATGCTGTGTGCAGATGGCGGGCTGTCAATCTGGCTGTCCAGACCCCAAAGTACAGGTTTTTATTGAAACAAGGTCTTGCTATGTTGTGGAAGCTCTCCTCAAACTCCTGAGCTCAAGCAATCCTCCTGCCTCAGCTTCCCAAGTAGCAGGTGCTATTTTTAAGATACCAACGTGTATCAGGCAGAGAGCCCAAGGGGAATGCACTCTGCAGAAGACCCACTAGGATGGTCAGTCAGAGCCCACTCCTCCCCTTGGAGGGCAGCTAGGAGTGGCAGGCAGTCAGGGTCACAAGGCCTGGGCATTCATCCCTCCAACCTGCGGCAGCCGGTACTGCCATAGAGCCCCCGGGAAGATGGGCTGAGCTCACTGCTTGGTGACTGAGACCTTTCCCATCCCAACCCTTGTGCCCAGCCCCTGCACACTTCCCACACAGCTAGCCCTGCCCTTCAACTGGACGTTTACCATTCCCACAGAAGCCCAGCCTGAAATCAGACCTCAGTGCTACAAGGGTATCGTTCTCCAGCACCTGTCTAAAGGCCACCTTTGACACCGTACCTCACAGGCCGAGATGCTGTCCACCGGGGCCCTGAGAGGGAGACCCCAAGAACAGCCCAGGCTTAGCGTGTGTGACCCAAACCTCAGTGTGGTGCAGACATGGTTCCCACAGGGAAGCCAGTGGCCAGGGAAGGTGACCCCTGGAGGGAGGCTGGTGAGCCTGTCTCCTGCTCTGGCCTGTCACGTCTGTGGGAAGGCCAGGCAGGAGCAGCAGGAACACCTGCCACGGCTGGGACAGCCAGCGAGTTTCTCTGGCAGCTTGTTTTCTATTATCCAAAGGGAAGCAAAGTAGAATTTGTATGAATTCCAAGTGGTATCTACAGTGAGAAACAGCAAGTCAAGGAAGTGATGAAGCACATCCTTGGCTGAGTGTGCACCGTGTGGAGTCCCAGGTGCACCCTCAGAGCCCAGCTGTGACCGGAATCATGGAAAGAATTAAGTTCATGAACCGAGGTATGAACCCAGGGTGTTCACACTGAGCTATACCTCCAGCCCTTTAAAAATGTTTTTTACAATTCTGAGACAGGTCTTGCAAAGCTCCTTGTAAGCCTCCTGCCTCAGGCTCCTGGAATGCTAGGACTGCAGGTGTGTGCCACCATGCCCAGCTTCTGCGGCACTTTTCCCTACACACATCCCCCTTGGCCTGACCTTGTTCTTGCTCAGTACTGCTGGATGTTGGCCCTGGCCTGTTCCGAGTGCCTCCTGTTCTTATGGAGCCCTCTTCCTGTCAGGGCCTCCGTCGGAGAGACGGCCTTGCTGAGATACAGGTGCTCTGGCCAGCGGGCCAGGGACGGACTCTGGGGTGGAATGGGCGCTGTGGCCATCCATATCCAGCTGCTGCCAGGGCCTCCTCTGTGGCGACCAGACACGCACATGTGCACTGTGGACGCTGCTCCCTGCACTCCCCGACTGGCACACATCGCCTTCCACTTCGGGCTCCCGGCCTTCCTCTCTGCAGCACTCACCAGACCTATGAAGCCTCGTCTGCTCCTCTCCTCCTCCCACCACTTCCTCCCTCAGTTTGTCCTGGGCTGCTGCCTAAGCAATTTCTTCAGTCACAACTCCTAATTCAGTAATTCTTTTTTGATGTTGTATCTAATACAGCGTAAGAGTCTGGCCACTGAGATTTTAGTTATAGTGATTACTGTTTTCATTTCCAGATGTTTCGTTTGCTAGTTAAAATCTGCTTGACCTTTCTGATGGCTTATTTCCTGCTCCTGTTGTGGACTCATTCTTACTGCATTCTGCCTGTTTTCACTTGGCACCTCATAGTTCCAGGTGGCGTTTCTAAGCTGGCCCTGCAGAGCCTCTCAGGATGTGTCCGTAATTCTGTGCAGCGGCACTCTGCACCCAAGGAGGCTGTCTCTCCGATCAGGGGCTGCAGGGAGCTCAAGGCAGCAAAACCTGAACACACCCCTCCAAGAAGGGAGAACTGGGCACAGAAGTCTCTCATCTCTGTGGCACC